GTTTTTTATAATCAACAAAATTCCACAATATTTATACCATTTAAAATTTAGATAGACCATAAATCTAAATATATCAGCTTTTTGACTGATCTTTTTTAATTAGACTCATATTTGTGTTTCTTTCACAAAATAAAATGCAGATTTATTTGTAGAATCAATTTCTTTTCAAACCTATTTTAATTAGACTATTTTTTCTCTTTACAGAATTCTCATGTTACATCAGGAATAGTGATTTTTAGGAATAAATACTTCAATGTATTTGAAATCCTGCTACATTATGCACAAGAATGCTACTTTGTAAGGTGAAAGGACCTAAATAGTGAGAATTTAGACTAAGCCAATCATTTTTAAAAGAAAAATTAAGCAAAAAGAGGAAGGATGAATATATTTAAATGGAGATAATATTTTAAATTTTGAAGACTTACATATATTTATTTGAATTATTATTTAAAAATGCAACTTAATATTTTTGTATTTCAGGTGTAATTCATACTTACAATTCAATAAGGCAGAACCATTTTGTAGTAATTTAGTTGAAAGTCTAGCACAGTTCTCTTTGAATATCAATAATATGGAAATAATGTCAATGTTTTCAGCTAATTAGAGCCAAATACTAATTTGGAAATTAGATCCAAATTTTATCCTGGATTAGAAGTCAAATTATCAACTCAGTTTTCAATGATGCCAAGTAATCGAAAGCTGAAGCAGTATAAAATATATTTCCCAAAGGACTAAGCTTCCATACCCTATATAAATTAGATTTACTTAACTCATAAAGATACCCTCAAATTACACATTACAATATATTTCAGATGATCAGTACAAGCAGATGAATAAATATACACAAATAAAATTAATTGTTCATCTGTAATTTAAACAAAATATTAATTTAGATCATTTAGGCGAGAAGTTTTACATGTCAGTTAGGAGATTTTCGTTCAAACAATAGATGTTAAATACCCAACCGTCTTGAAAATTTTATTCTGATTAATAAAATATTAAATTTTGATAAGCAAAAATTTGCTGATATAAACTCAAACGACATCAAGTTATTAGAAACTAAATATTTATCAGATAACCTATATGTCTTGTTTTAAGATTGTTAACTTTATGTCTAGGAGGTTAAGGAGTTGGAGATTAATTATGTAGTTTAGGTCATTTGGAGCATTATGTGAAGAAAGCGATACTTATGATATCAAAGGAGAAGGATAGTATATTAAGAATATATAGATCTCAGACTGCTAAGTATGTTTTGGAGTTGATGACAATATCATAATAATTTCACTTTAGTATATCAATTATTTAATTGTATAATATGATTGAGAAGAATAGCAAAATCGAATAGACTATTTGCATCTTCAAAGTTAAGAGAAAAGCTGAGTAAAATAATATTTAAAATGTGTCAAGGTACATCATACTTTATGGCTAATAAATTAGATCACTGCTTATCAGAGTATTCATAAATTCAATTAGTTTACTCTAAAGTCTTTGATATGATGATATTAATACTATATTAATTCGTGATTATTCTATTAGGATCTTATATTTACTCGAGAATTGTAAAATCTAAAATCTAAAGCAATATTATTTCAAATATTACTTTTAACCTTTACATTTTTCTTTTTGCAGGATTAATCAAAAAATATGTTAAATTTTAGGTTAAGTTCCATTCTATCTTGTAGAGTAGTATCAGATCTTAAACATAATTAAGTGATGTCTCTTTAATATATGGCACTGAGTACCATAACAAGTGGATTCATTACTTTAAATATAAGAAAAAGAGGCCATATTTGTTACTTATTTATTGAATGTAATTAACACTGTTAAATTTTGGAATTAATTGAGGCTCAAAAAATGCAGCTATGATAGTTTTTATGACATATTTTTTTGAAACTAATATAGCTCTAAAAGCAATATTATAAGGTTTGTACTTGGTATTATATTAATTGATTGTAATTAAAAACAAACTTCGTTTCGAAGTTTAATGCTTTAGATTTATATTCTGGGTAACCATGCTGCAAAATAAATTAACGAATAGCAAAATGACATAGTTTGATCAATCACACTTTAGGTGTATCTCAATATATTTTGCTTTACCAACCGTATTTGGTAGATAGTATTAGGATTTATCATAAAAATATCAACATCTGTTTTTATGCTATCTCTTGAAGTTTATAATACTAGATATTTTAGTGTTACTTTGGATAATTGGCTTTTCAAATGAAATTTTAAGAATTCCAATCATAACTCAATCTCAATAAATTACGATCACTGGCAAGAAGCAAGTGAAAAATAGAAGGTGTTGTAAGTTACGTTGAAATCAGAACTTCAAGTTTGATTTCCTCTTTTACATAAATATTATTTAAGATGATATATAAATTTTGAAAATAATAATTGTTTTATCGATTTCATAATAACCATATTTTCTTTCTTCAAATCATGCTCCATTTATTAAACATCTTTAATATATACATATTCAAAAAAACACCCATTTTTACAGGTTTATTTTAACAGGTAATTGTAAATAAGGACCTGGAGATCAGAAGCACAGTAATCAAAAAATTTCGACATCCAATAATCAGCAGAGCATAAAAAAATAACCTAGAATTGATGTTAATCTAACAAAAATACAGGAAGGGAGGTGGAAAATATATCTGATATCAATACATCATTTTAGGATTGGATATGTCGATGAAGTGTAACCAAAAAGCACATTAAGTAGAAGCTATAGTTTGACCAGTACCCTCCTTATATGATGAAGATCGTCTCTAGTTTAAGTCAGTACAATAGTTTTATATTCGAATAACTTCAGAAGGGCAACTAGCTATGATAATAAGGTTGCTATAATTATATAAGCAAGACACAGTTAGCACTGCAATTACTTCACGATGTGATTTCGACTGAGCCCTTGTGCAGTCAAACATGAGGACAAAAGTCTTTGCAATTACAGAAATTTTTTGAATCAACAGATGTACTGAATATCCAAAGTGTAGCATACAGTAATTACTCATTAATTACATTTAAGAAGTACTAGAGTCAGTCCGATTATTCCTGTTGAATTGATGAAAGTATTGTAATTTTAATTAAAGTCGAGCTACATATAAGCAACTTGTGAATAGAATTAGTACGTTATTAATAATTTTCGCAAGTTTAGATTGCACTAACAGCTAATTGCCAAGATAATGACGTTCAGAACTACTTGAAGAATTTTGGAGCTATGCTTTATAAATTCCACTTGTATAATCACGGCCATAAAAAGTCTATTAAGCAGTATTGTAATCTGAATGAGAAAGCTTGGGAGATTTCGTATCAGATTGAAATTTAGAATGAATTAGATCAATAATTTAAATCGTTTTTATTGCTACAGATTGGTTCACAGTTTAAAAGGTATTTCAATAATACACCTGCTGTTACATAAGTGAATGGTAAATTAGGATAAATGAATATAAATATTAGGTTGTAATTTATTTATACTGTTAAATCTTAATCAAAGAAAGAAAATATATGAGAGTGAAAAAATTAAAGCATAATCCTAAAATGATTTTGTTATTACAGCTCTATAATATTAAGTGAATTTTCAATCCTTTGTCTATGAAATTTCTTATCCTCCAGGGCAAGTCTAACTCTCTAATTAAACGCAACAAAAGAGAATAATCATCTAAATTTAGTAGTCTAGATTCAAGCGACTTAAAAGATGCTATACAGTATCAGAAATTAGAATAGCAACTTAGCATTACATTTTTAGGGAATTGAGTTTAAGATTGATCAAGATTTATAACCTAATTCTATAAAAATTGAGAAAAACATTTAAGACAGCTCAATTCAAACTTAACTAAGAGTAGAAGAGCAATCCTTTCACTTTTAGCTTCCTAATTGAATAATTTTATCTCCTTATAGTTAATTGATGGACTTAACCAAAGTAATTTCATTGCAAAGAAGGATCACTTTAATGATGAAACTTGGAATTTTAAGATTGAAATATTCATTAATGGGCGCTTTATCTATGCTCATGGTATTGTTCCAGTTCATTTTATGGAGAACAATTTACTCTAAAAAAAGATAGAAGGTTCTTGGAACATATGATGAGGGAAGGTTCCATAGATTTGATTTTAACAAAAGCTAGTCTTCTAAAATTCAAATTGCTAATATTGCTGCACTTATTTTCTCATCCTAATATATTTTCTGAAGTTGAATGTTAGCTGCTTTATAAATACTCTGTGAGCAAGAAAAAAGGATTTTGATTATCATTTCAATACAATCAGTCGGCCATTTTTAATATACAACACCAGAAGTTCATATAAAGAAAGCAAAAAGGACTCCTTAAATGATATACAATCTGTTCAAGACAAATTAAATTTGTATTCTACCAAAGTTGATTAATCCAGTTTTTACTAGATACATTCCATTTACACAATAAAATAAAAGCGTTGAATAAAGTTAATATTGAACTGCAAGTTCACAAATTTCTCGTTTTATCTATACGTTCAATCAAGGTTTTTTCATGTAATACAATTTAAACTTTAGCTGTGCATTTTGCATCCACCCTTCACATTTGGAATTAGTATCATAAGATGGAGATAGTGTTTTACATTTCTTCTCTAAACATCCTTATTTCAATGAGCAAATAGAACAACTCAAATTAATTGTTATCTCTAAAACATTTTCACATAAAAAATCTGCATAACCTAAAGTGTTTAAATTAAATTGTAATATTAACTTTTAAGATTTTTTTGTTTGACAATTTCAATTTCTTATAATCTTAATCATATTCATTCATTAATAAATACTTAAATTTGAATTCACCTTTAAGCCAAAGGCCACTATCTTTAATTTTGGATTACTTCAAAATCCTATTCCTGTAATATCTCCCAAGATGATTAAGGTGTCACTTAGAATTCTCCATTAATTTAATTTTCCCATAAATTTTTTATTCCTGGCAATCTTTATGAGTATAGCAAGCTAAGGCATGATAACATAGTTTTTTTTAGCATATTTTTTATACCACAAGCAATCTTATATTCTAATGAATAGCAATCCATTTCTTAAGTTTAGCCATATCATGTTTAAGGTATAATATAGCATCCTTTTTTTTCTAAAGTAACAAAATCATAAAGATTTTCATTATTGATTGACTCTGGAGCAGTTTTACAACTTGATTTTAATGATATTCGCATTTTTAACCAAAAACATAGCTTTCCAATCAAATTTATTTTTACCATCACAATACTGCTACCTTATTGTACAATGAACTCCATCAGTTGTATATCTCTTTTAATCTCATCTTTATTCGTTATAACTTTACATAATACTCTGTTTTAACTTCAATATGACTAAAATCCAGAATCCTGAGTAAATGGTAATTTTAAAACACTTTTGAACCAATTTACAATTTTTGAATCTCAAAAAAAATTATCATTCAATTTATTTTCAAAGCTTTAAATTATTTACAGATATTTTTACAAAGACCCCAATTATTTGGTTCTTCCATAACCTTCTCGCTTATTGTACATCAATCAAGCCCTGACTTACCCTTACTATGATTGGTTAAATATAAAGGTAATAATTCACACATTAAGACATCTGTGCATTTTCTCTCTTTCCCAAATCCAAACACCGAATACCATATTAATTTTTATTCGTAATGGCATTTCCATTTTATTATCACTAATTTCTTACATTTTCACACGCTTGAACAATTAGAAACACATTAATATCACCATTCTTAACAATTTCCTTTTTCAGATATGCTACAATATGCAAAGTAAAAACATAAAAACAAAATAAAAGCCATATTCATTACTCTTATTCACTCAATCTTCTTGCGAAAAGTTTGTGCACGGATTTTAATTATTTATCTTTGAATTGCATGATTGGCTAGAATTTAAAACACAAAAAACTGTTACCCAGATGCAAGCCCAGAAATTTTGCAGCTTTATAAATTTGAAAATGTCAGAAAATGAATGTTTTGGAATTTTCAAACTCCTTATATAAATATTAGAGGATCAAAAGAAATAGAAATATTGAAGCTCATATTTATGTTTTTATTTTAAAATTCCTTATTTTTTTTTGATCTAATTTTCAAACTCACTTCTATTAAAACCTAATTGAAAAGTGTGTATCAGTGACTATTTAAATTTCTTAAAATGTATCAATATCGCAATACATATTTCGACATTTGGAATATTCTCATTATAAATTAACTATTATTAATAATCAATTGTTTAAATAAAAATATAAAAAAACACCAATATGAAAACTCGAACTTGGATCTTTCCCGCCAAATTGCAAATTTACCTCTAAACTACCTGATCTGAACTTAACCTAATAATAGAAAAGTCTTCAATAAATACTTCTTCCTTGTTTGTCATTTTTTGATCATATTGAATATGAACAATCATATTTAATGAAAATTATCACTTGTGCTTTTTTTTCTCAAAATTTTCAAATTTAATCCAATACGTACTTCCTTTAATGCAATTAGCAACTTTCAGTAATAAATTAGTAAAGTGAAAATCAATCTCATAATTTTAATTTATTTAATCTATTAGTTTATTTACACTGGTAAAAATATCATAGCTATCTTAAGAAATCTATACTCATTGCTTTAGAACTAATCCAATTTAACAATGAATGGCATTTTCAATGATTTATTCCACAAATTCTTTCATTCATCAATAAAGAATTTAAGAATTTGTACTTTGCAACTTTAATTCAGTCAAAACAATGGGAAATGTACTGAATTTTTTGGTAAAAGAATTGTGCGTATAAGCAATTTGATCCTTAGGTATCAAACTTTCAACCTCTGATTTGGTGAGATTTTATTTTAAAATATTGCAACCAATTATTTTGAATTGGATAAACGCAATGCTCAGATTTTGATATATCTGACAATGATAGCACTTACATTACAGAAATTCTGACAAAATCGTAGCTGTTTCCATTATTCTAAATTTCTAAGGTCATGACAAAGATTAACCAAATAAGCTTCTTTTATATGAGGTTTTAGTTGCAATGCATTTTCCAAAAAATTGGATGACTTGTACTATAATACTAGAATTTTTAAGAATTAAGAGAGACGAATAAATTGTTGTAAAAGTAATAATGGAATTAATTAATCACATTAATCTAGTGATCAACCATCAATGTTTATTTAGTCTAAGTTGGGGAGCTAGTGTCCTCAAATCATTAGAGAATTTTCATAACAAAATATCTAAAGATTTGCATATTTTATCATCTTTCCATTATTAATTATAATCATGATTATTAATCAAATTTAATAAAGGGAAAAATATTACAATAACATAAATTCAAAATTTTTAATTATTAAAAATCAAATATATAAAAAATGAATTTTTTGATAATTTTTATTTTTATGGAATTGTTTCAGTTTTCAAAATCAGAATGGCTAGCTACTAATAGTTACTTAATCACAAATTAAAAATTTAGTTATTCCAATGGATCATTCTTATATGCTTATGCTGGATAATTTATAATTCCTTCGAACCAATCAACTGCTAATTTTATCACTTGTACAAGCCCTGAAATAAGCTACATAACTCTAAATCAAATGTATCCATCTGCTCAAAATTATTTTTTCAGTGATATCAAGAAGGGTTAGTGGATATCAATGGATTTATTTTTCCATGGTACATGGCTATCTGAAAATTTTGAATTTAGAATAGGATAATTTTTATATTCATACTCCTATACATCGCCTACAACATATCCAATGAACACAGGATTTTGTGATAGCATTCCATTTGAAGTTAAAACTTTGAACTTTTCAATATCATAACAAAGTTACGGCTATTTGAATTTTACATCGACTAATAAAAATTAAGGCTTTGTTTCTCTTAGAAATATTGTCGTTTCTGGATTAAGATGCTATCCATCATGTTAATCATGCACAGGTCCAAGATACAATGAATGCGCAAGTTGTTATTATGGGGTCCCAACAAATAGTATTTGTCCATCTTGTCCAATTAATTAATACTATTTGAAGTACTAGTCATGCCGAGATATTTGTGATATAGATAGTCCATTATATTCGTATGGGTTTTGTTAAAATTATCCAAGTAATTATTTTTAATTAAAACAACTAGTTTACTTAATATATCAGGGTTAAATTTCGTCTTAACTTGGTTCAGTTGAAATTTTGAGATGGAACGTAAAATACGACGAAAAGCATTTAGATCTATCTCCAACTATTATCACCAATTTTTCATCAGGTTACGGAATATTTAAGTTTAATTCTGGTATCTATAGATATATCTATGAATTGCCTGCTTATATACATTCAACCTATTTAGTTGGATTTAAAATTGAAATTATTACTTACAATAATATTCCAATGAATTGTGGAATATAGTTTCAGATTAATAATACTTATTATGGATCTATTTATAGAAACGCCTCTGGAATTCAAACTCATAGAATAAAAGTCCTCTCCAGTTCTTCATAGTCTTCAATTTATTACTAGAGTATGCTCTATATTTTAATTGCATATTTCGACATTCCTAAGTATTCATTTCTATTTTCAGCCATTGGAAATTATACGTATATCTCTATTTATTTTCCTTAGAGATGACACAGCAGGATGGGGAATGCATTCCTTAAAAATTAGCTCTGGATATTGCCCTATTAATTGTAAATTGTGCGAAGTATCATTTAAATGTAAGACTTGTAGTAATGGGTACTATTTAAGTCGAAATGGTATTTGCTTATCAAGTTGCTCATCTCCAGATCAGAAATTAGTTGGTTAATATTGTTAGAATTATGATGAAGAAACACCCTGTAATAGATATTATAATTTATAGACTCTTAATATTTGATTAGAGAATATGAAAATACAGACTTTGATCCTAATTAGTATGCATAATACACTTTAATCTCTCAAAATGGAACAAACTTTTTAAAAGGATCAGATATCTACTTTTCATATTTGCTTGGGAGAAGAGTGTTCGGAGGACCTTTTGTATGGGCATAAGCAAAGTTCTAAAGAATTCATAATATGATATCTCCACATCATAGCCTCACCATTATATTCTACATAGTATATGGATCATAGTTTCCTTCAGATGGTTAATTTATATATACAATAGAGAATAATATAACAGTTTCTAGATCAATTACAAACAATTCTAAATCGAATTCAGATGGGACAAAGTAAGATGCAGTGTTAGAAAGAATTCTTCATAATACAGATTCTTTATCGATCACTTGGGAATGTTATGGTCCAAATAATGAACCGATTAAAGGGTTTTGCGGTTTCCATACATATTATATTATTGTTCATAATTGTTAACCTTATTGTTTAGTATGTTCAAATGAGACAACATGTACTTCATGGAACAGCACATATGATTCTAATATCAATAAATTTTCTTAAGCAGAATGTTTGACTAATCAATATTATCATAAGGAGTCTGTAAGATGTTTAGATTGTCCATAATCTTGTTTAACTTGTACATCATAAATAGATTGTTAAACATGCAAATCAACTTATATCTTAACTAAATTAGGATGCACTTGCATGATGAATTAATATGAAGAATCAGGTCAATGTTTTGATTGTTCAATTGAATGTAATTAATGTTTAAGTTATACCTATTGTATTGAATGCTTAAACAGTAATTATAGAGAATTATTAAATGGGTAATGCAATTGTATTGATGGTTATTATCCTATTGTATAAAAGGCTACATGCTAATTATGTCATTAATTTTGTAAAACTTGCATTGGACCTACCTCTGCTGACTGTTTAACTTGCAATGATATTTCAAATATTGAAAAAGTAGGATCAACATGTTAATGTCAAGCTGGAACCTTTTATCAAGATGAGAATAAAGCATGTTCAAATTGTCATTTATCATGTTAAACATGCTTTAGAATCTCAACAGATGGCTGTTTAACTTGTGATCCTATTTTAAATAGAATATTAAAAGGATTATAATGTGTCTGTGCCCCAGGTTATTATGAATTGAATAATATTTGCATAAGTATATTTAATTAAGATAATAATAGATTGTCCAGATGCAGAAGATTCAACTTTAAGTTAATGCTATAAGTTATGTAATAACAATTAATTAATTTGGCATAAAATTACTTGTAATTTTTGTGATAATGGATTTCAATTAGTGTCTGGAGAGTGTTAACCTATTTGTGGAGATTTATAAATAAAGGGTGATGAGTAATGTGAAGATAATAATACAATTCTTAATGATTTATGCTATAATTGTTAATTTTAATGTCCAGCTCATTGTTTGACTTGTGATTCATCAACAACTTTACCTTGCCCTGATGTTTGTGGAGATGGAATTGTAACAGGATTCGAAGAATGTGAAGATGGAAACACAATTTAATATGATGGATGTTACAATTGTAAATATTAATGCTAGCCTTAATGTACAAAATGCATAAAAAAACAATGTTTTGAATGTGCAACCCCAGGATGGTTTATTGATCCAACTGTTGATCCTTGGTAATGCAAAGAGAGATGTGGAGATATGCTTGTAGTTGGAAATGAATAATGCGATGATGGAAATTTAACTGACACATATGGATGCAAAAATTGTAAATATTTCTGTAGAATTGGATGTTCTTCTTGTGATTATACAAATAACCTTTGTTTAAGCTGTGAATTTGAAGGCTTTACTCCATAGAAGTATTATTGTAGAAATATTTGCGGAGATGGGCTAATTGTAAATGATCCTTATGGGTTCTATTTTGAATAATGTGATGATGGAAATACAATTAAATACGATGGATGCGATTCGGATTGTAGATTTTAATGTTAACTGTCATCGATATGCACTAGTTGTATAGACAATCGATGCCAAGAATGTGCCGTTGGATATCAGCTTTCTGATGCAAAAATTTGTATTGCAATATGTGGAGATTTAATCAAAGTAGTAAACGAATAGTGCGAGAGTGGATTTATACTACCTTATTAGGGTTGTTAAAATTGCATAGCAAAATGCTAATCATCTTGTGTAGATTGTTATAATAGTGGGTTGGGTTGTAAATCTTGTAAGACTAATTATAAAAAAATTAATAATTTATGTTATCCAATCTGCGGAGACTAAATAATAACACCGGATGAGGAGTGTGATGACGGGAATTTAACATTTGGAGATGGATGTCATTAATGTTTATTTAGCTGCCCAATTTCTTGTTCAATTTGTCTAAAAGGGGTTTGTTATGATTGCAAAGAAGGCTATTAGTATATTAACTTTTCATGCATCCAAATTCAAGAATAATTTATTGATGCAAGATGTAATTAAACATGCTTAAGTTGCAGTACATTAGGCAAGGGTTGTATAGTATGCTAGAGTGGATTTGAAAACATTGATAATACTTGCTATCCTATTTGTGGAGATAAAATAATTGTTGCTGAGGAATGGTGTGATGATGGTAATTTAATATATGAGGATGGATGTTATTAATGTTCTTTTACTTGCTCTGAAACTACTTGCACAAATTGCCGAAAAGGTCTTTGCTTAAGTTGTCCTGAAAACCATTTTTTATATTAGAACTAATGCTTTTAATTAGCTGAAAATATTCATTTCAAATAGATTACTAATTTTGAGGTTACAGATTTACGTATTACTTAAAATTTTATAGCTAACTCTTATTATACTAGTAGAATTAATATGAAGATCCATGAATTTATGTAATATGAATATAATCAGATTCGTCAATATTTAGAAATTATGGATTAAAGTTTTTCTTATATAAGCATAGATATAGTATTCCAATGCAGTGAGAACAAGTAAGTGATTAGTCAATTTATTTCATCTAATTATCCAAAAGGAAATGAGAATCTTGAACAAATATATCAATATCAATGTCACAATGAAGTTGATCACACAATTACTTTTTCTTTTAGGTTAAGTAAGATAGTGGTAAGAGATGAAATATTGTTAATCAAAATTTCTGGAGATGATGTGAAATTATCATCTCTATCTGAAAAGTCTCCATAAAGGATTTTACAAATCACCATTGTTGATTTTTGATCATTTCATATAATTTCGACATCTAAAAAATGTTAAATATTTATATTTTATTATACAATTGCAATTTTTAATTTTATACAACAATATTCGTTTATCAATTTGAGGCTTTTTACTGATATACGCATTCTTAGCAAATAATTTATAATTTTAGGTGTTAATTCGAATAAATTTTTTTGAATTTTTACCTCTATTTCTTTTATTAACAAACTATTCAATATATATTTCCAATGAAAATAAAGGTAATTATGATAAATTCATTCCTTATAATTCATTTTTTACTCATAGAAGTTAAAGATACAATTCTAATTAGCAGATGAAAATTATTAATTATTATTTAAATACAAATAAATAATCATATCAATGCTTTTTCATAAAAATAACTATAAATTGAATTGGCTAATTTATGATTCCCCATGACTTTCAAAAAATAAGGTAATTTTAGGTTTTTTTAGTTGATTCCTGGTTGAATAAGATTATTTAAATTTCAATATTAATCAAATTTATTTAATAGATAGGGTAACAAATGAATTGTACATTCAAGTTCAAGCAAAAAAACTGATTAATTTCCTTCATTCACAAATATTGCATTTCTAACTTAGTATTCTATAATATATTAGAAATTATATTTAAAAGTCTTGACAATAATTTCAAAATATATATAGAATAGAAATTTCGATATTCATATTTTTTTATTACCTATACTTCAATTAAACTTAAATGTTAGAAAATTTGTCAGATATAGCAAATTGAATAAAAAAACCTGTCCTATTCATCTTTTAGATTTTTTAAATGAGAAGGAGATGAAAAAGATCATAACAAACTCAAAAGAAATTTTTTAAACAAAAATATTAAATCCCTTCTCTATTCCTTACAAAAATACACCTATTTAAATAAATATTTTCAAATAATTCAAGCAAAACCTGAAACGAATTTGTTTGCTGTTTTAGCAATATAAATATTATATTATTGTTAATTTTTATTTAATATAATTGAAAATAAATTTATCAATGAGAAATTTTTAATAAAAGAATAAAACGGATTACGTTGATATGATTTATAAGAGGATACTAATATAGATACATTATTTATCAGTTTAAGACTGTGATGAAATTAATTAATTAGCTGAGAGATGAATGATTATAATTTGCATTACATAATTATTATAAGTATATTTTATTTAGTATTTAATAAGCAAATAAATGCAATAGTTTATATGAGACATTTGACACATAAAGATGATTTAAAATCAAATTATTCAAACATCTGTTCTTCATCAAATATTTTAAATTAAATTATTACTAATTAGCTGAGTCATTGTATTATAAAAGTGATTTTGACTTCATTCTTTTTTGGATTGATGTTTGCTTTTCTTATTGATTGAAAGGAATTACAAATATTTATTTCGAAAATTGATTACTCCCACTTCGAGACATCCATTAATATTGAAAATTAGGGATGTTGTTCTTCTAAAAATATATATTAATTCTTTATGCATTTATGAATAATAAATATCTATATGTAAGATATAATAAATTCCTTTTTTATAAGAATTTTTGTTAAGTACTTGCACATCAATTCATTAGAAATTTAATCAAAGCTTAAGTAATCCCAGCATTTGCTTAGTTTCTTACAGCGTTTCTTTCATATCACTCCTTCATGATATTCATAAATATTAAATAAAATTTCAAAGATTTTTGAAGGATAACACAATCTGTAGAGAATAAAATAAAACCAAGAATTCAATATATTGATGTTGATTATAACTTTAATAAATTTGATGTTATTAAAAGAGATGCCTTCATGCTAAAATAATGTGAGATTTATTTGCGAATATCTCGTTATAAAAATTTTATTATGTGTTAATGAGATTATGAATTCTTAATATACTATTTTTTTTGATCTTTTTAAGTTCTTGGTTTTGCTTGATATATCTATTAAGTATATAAAGATTCTAATTTTTCAATGCATTAGTATTAGCATGATGAAATTATCTTCAATACACTTTTAAATGTGGAAATATATCCATATAATTAATTATATCATAGAAAACATCAATTTTATCAGTTAGTGTATTTTAGTAAATTTTAAACACAAGATTTTTATTAAAGAATTTTTATTTAAATAACATGAAGGTGAAGAATGCTAACTCTAAAGCACAAGAATTAAACTAAGAAGAGTAAAGACTTAAAAACTTAGGTGCGAAAGTTTGTTTGCAATATGATTTAGAATCATTAAACTTCATAACCTAATTTATCCCACAGTTCTTGGAATATTATGTAAATTCATAAAAGAGAGATAAGTATGCAAACTAATTGCCATTAATATCTCTAACAAATA